AAAGAGAAAAAGAAGAAGAAGAAGAAGAAAAGTTTTTTAAAATCTTTTTAGTTAAATTAAAAAAAGTGAAAAAAATGGGAGGTTTAACAGTAACATGCTTTAGGCATATAATTGCCTACAATTTATTTTTCCCCGTTTTTTTTTTTTTTTTTTTTATTCTTTAATAATATTAAAATTAAAAAGCATTTTAAAGCTTTTCTTTTTTTTTTCTTTTTCTCTCTCTTTGGTAAATTAAAATTTTTTTTATTTTAAAAGTTTCTTTGAATTAAGGATTAAACAGGAATCCGACCAATAAGAAAGAGAGAGAGAGAGGGGGGGGGGGAGAGGGAGAGTTTTCGGTAATACGATCGAAAAGGTTTTTTTTTTTTCTTTCACGTACATATATATATATTTTATATTAAAATTGTCAAATTTGACAAGTAATAAATTATATTTTATTATTATTATTATTATTAGTTATTTTTGACATCGTTTGCGTTAATATGAAGTATGTGTTTTTGAAATTATTATTATTATTATCATTTCGTACCTTAATCATGTCTCTGAAAGGAAGTAAATTATTATCAAAAGTTTAAAAAAAAAAAAAAAAAACTTGCATGATGATATGAATTTTTTAAAAATAAAATATTATTATTATTATTATTATTATTATTATTATTATTATTATTATTATTATTATTATTATTATTATTATTATTTTAGGGAAAGAAAATACAAAGAAAAAAAAGAAAGAAATTGATTCAATTTAATTTAATTTAATTTAATTTTTTTTAATAAAATCACTTTTGTATAATTTTTGACCACGTGATTTAAAAAAAAAAAAATTGATTTTCGCAACAAAACGAATAGGAAAAAAATATGGGGAGGAGGAGAGGGGGAGGGGGAAAGCAGAAGAAAACGAAACAAAAAAAAATTTTATTTATTTTTTTTTTTTACATTTAAAATTTTAATTAACCTTTGGGGAAAAAGGGGAAAAAAATTATTAATAATAATAATATTGCTTATATAATCACCGTAGTGGAAAATAATAATTTAAATTCCGATTTTTATAATAAATATTAATGACTTTTGAAAAAAAAAAAAAAAAAAAAAAAAAGAAAAATTTTTTGTTTTCGGTTTAGTTTCTAGAAACAAACAAAAAATGGAGACGACGTGAAAATTTTTTTAAAAAAGGATGAGGAGCAGCTATAAACAAAATGAAAAAAATTTTTCTTTTTTTTTTGTAATAATAATAATAATGAAATAAAAACGATGGGGAAAATATGAATGTAACGTTCAAAGTTTTGCATCGACTAATAAAAAAAATGTCAATAATATAATTTCATTTTTGAATTTATTAATAAATAAAAAAAAAAAAATAATAATAATAAATCTTACGAAGCGCCATCTTGATCGAAAAATAAAAATAAAAATTATTATTATTATTATTTTTATTTAAATTTAAGTAATGAAAAAAAATTTCAAATTTTCGTTAAAAATCAAAAAGTTCGTTAAAAAATCGAACGATATCTTAATAATAATAATAATAATAATAATAATAATAATATTAATATTTTGATTTTTCTTTTATTAGGAAAACAAAGGAGGAAAAATTCCACGGTGATAACTCATTTAATTACATTTAATTTAATCATCATTTTGGAAAATTATTTAAAAATGGTCGACGTGACGACGACGACGACGACGACGGGAGGAGGAACAGGAACGAGCGGTGGAAAATGGGTTTGTCCAAATGACAGACAACTCGCACTCAGAGCAAAGTGAGTTTATTATCATTATTATTATTATTATTTTGATTTTTTTTTTTTCGTCGTGAGGAGTGAAATTATTAATATGTGAATTTAACCCGCAAAAACAATTTGCTATTTCGTTTAATTTAATGAAAAGGTTTATATCTAGACGACGACGACGACAGCAGCAGCAGCTAATCCCCCTCCCTTTCTTTTCCCTTCTCCCCCCCCCCGTCAGCTCGAGTAAAATTGAGATAACGAATCTTTTTCTTTTTCGTCCTCCCACGTTTTATTAAGTCCCTATATTTAAATTTTCATCCCACATAAAGGTCAAGGATTTTCTTTTTTTCCTTCGATGAATCGAACTTTTTTTTTTTTTTGGGGGGGGGGGTCAGTTAAATGATGGCGGATACGTTGGGGGGAAAAAAAAACCAAAAAAAATTTTAAATGGAATAAAAAATCGTGTGAATAGAAACATACGTGAAAGAAAATAATTTTCCGGTTTTTCTTTCATTTTTTTTTGGTTGTTGACCAGCAGAATCGAAAAAGTGTGGGGAAGGGGAGGATGGGGGGAGGGGTACGAAACCTTTTTATCAGTGAAAATTATTATTATTATTGTTATTATTGCATTTTCGATAAATTAATTAATTTTCGTTGTGTTTTCGTCATTCCTGCATGAATGAAAATTTTCCAAATTAATCTGATTATGGACGATGTGTAAAACAAAAGAAAATTTTTTTTTTTTATTTAAATTTTCCGTTAATGAACGATGTAAAGTTTTACTCTGCCATTGATAATTCCGGTAAAAATTTTAATTAAAAATTTTCGCGGGGGGGGGGTACCAAGTCAGAAATTAAATAAGACGGTTCGATCAAACGAATCCATCATCATCATTATCAGAGGAAAAGGAAACGAAATGAAAAATTTCAACTCAGTTAATACCAAAGATGAAGATGAGGAAGAGAAAAAAGGGAAAAAATTTTCCAATGCGAAGAAAAACAGCAGAAGAAATTTTCGCGAGGGAAAAAATATTGCAATGAATTAATTAAAAAAAAACAGAACAAAACGTTTGAAAATCACGTGATCATTTTAATGTAAAAACAAACAAACAAACAATTTCGTCGTTTTTTTTTGTTGTTAATTTAAAAAAAAAAAATGGCGACGACGACGATGAAAATTTCTCCTGTTTCATAATAATTCATTTATAATAGTTTTTACATTGTTAGAAAAAGATATTTTTTTTTGGTTTCCAGGGGCAACCTATTTTAGGCTCGCTTTCCCATTCTCTCTCTCTCTCTCTTTTCCTTCTTTTTTTTTTTTATTTTTTTCCTCTTTCTCTCTCTCTCTCTCTCTTTTTTATCTCTTGTAAATTTCAAGATATTAATCAAGCTTCATTTACATCCAGGTTGTCATATTAAAAACGTTGAATTTTTTTTTTTTTCTAATACGAGAGATACTATTAAAAGGCAAAAGGAGAAAAAAAACAATAAAACTAATAATATTAAAGGTGGAAAAACCTTAGATCGTATCCTTTTGGGAGAAAAATAGAAAATTAAAGAAAGAAAGAAAGAAAAGGAGGAGAGGAGGATATAAGAAGAAAAAGTTCATCAAGAAATCTTTTTTTTTTTTTTTTTTTTCTTATAAAACCTTTGAAATGAATTTAATTTTAAATTTTGATTCTGATGCTCCTTTTTTCTCTTGTTGATGAAAAGGAAAGAAGTTGTGAAAAGGTTTCAAGAACATGAAGAAGAAGTAAGGAAAATTATGAGAAATGAAGGGGGGAGGAAATGTATATGTTTAAAGTCGGAAAATGAGGAAAATGTAAAACGTAAAATTTCTATATTCTCTTGTTTGTTACAAAAAAAAAAAAAAAAAGCCACCATTTTAAAACTTGGTTTTTGCTGACGTTTATAAATATATTTGCGTTTGTAAAAGAAAATAAAAGACAACCGAAATATTCACCCTCGACTTAAATAATAAAAGAAACCACAAAAAAATCCTCCCTTCCCTTTCCCCCTCCCCACCCCCCCCAACGTTTAAGTTTTAAGTTTTTTTTTGTCGTCGTTTTTTTTTTTTTAATCGTATTCGTTGCTGCTGCTCCCCCTCCCTTTTCTTTTTTTCCTTAACAAAAAAAGGAAAATTTCAAATAACGCTGTTTTTTTTTTTATTTATTTATTTCCAGAAAATAAGATGATTCTGGAGAAAATATTATTATTATTATTATTATTATTATTAAAAAAAAAGTATCGATTCTTCCTGGAATTTTTTTTTTCTTATTCTCTTCTTGTTTCATCTTTCTTCCTTCCTCTCCTCTTCTTTTTTTTTATTCATAGATTTTTCTGTTTGTGTTATATTAAACTTTTATATATCGTTTCGTCATTGTTTTGCTCTTTATATTATTATTATTATTATTATTATTATTATTATTATTATTATTATTATTATTATTATTATTATTTTATTTTACTGGTTTATGATAAAAAAAAAATCATATCAGATTTTTATATAAAAAGTATTAAAATTTTTTTTTTTTTTTTAAAAAGCCTTAATTGTATTCTCTCATTCTCTCTCTCTTTCTCTCTCTTTCTTTCTCTC